GCGCCCCAGGCCGGTGCTTCCCCAGTGCAGCTGGAGCCCGGGAGGGGAAGCGCCCAGACGGGGGCGCAGGGTCTGGAGGCTTCCTGGCAAACCATGAAGCCGGTAGCACTCGGGCTTCGGGCAGCCCCTATGCCTCTGGACCCTGCGCCCCTGGCCAGGCACTTCTCCTCCCTGGCTCCAGCTGCTCTGCTCCTCCCCGGACTCAGACTTCGGGCAGCCCCCTTGACTCCGGACCCCAGCCGCCGGCTGGGCACTTCTCCTCCCTGGCTCCAGCTGCTCTGCTCCGGCGGCGCAGGGTCCTGAGGCACAGGGGCTGCCCGAAGCCGGTAGCGCTGGCTCGGGCAGCTTGGCTCTTAAACAGAGCCGAAGTCTGAGTCCGGGGAGGAGCAGAGCAGCCGCGGGAGAGGAAGTGCCCGGCCGGTATTTTTCCCGGACATGTTCGGCTTTTTGGCAATTCCCCCCCGGATGGGGGTTTGATTGCCGAAAAGCCGGACATGTCCGGGAAAAACCGGATGTATGGTAACCCTATTTAAATAATCACACTAGAATTACAATTACAATAACTGTACTGATTACATTTATTTGAATGTGTTTCTCTCTCTCTCTCTAACACACATGCACACATTTTAGTATGTAATCCTAGAAATAAATACAGTTTTGCATTTGTTTTGTATTTAGTCCTTGTTATCTTGGAATAATGCTGGTGGAAAATCCTGCATTTGATAAATCCATTGTGCAGTTTTCAAATAACAACAACTTTGTTGGGCCAAACTCTTCTTTCAGTAGAGTTATTCTGGATTTATCCATTGGAACTAAGAGTAGGTGTGGTCCATCATGTCTGAAGAAATTTAATTTAAGAAATGTCTGGCACGAAACCTTTTTTCAGGATTAAGTCTATGGCAAGTTAGCAATTTGGAACCTAAAATGTTCTTGAGTTATCCAAGTACACAGAATAATGTGTTTAAATTTTTTTAACATGAGGCGATCTGTCCCGTCACGCTTTGACAACTCAAAACTAGCTAAATGGGCTTTTGCCAAAATCTCAAAAATAAATTAAAGGATAATTCTACACTGCAGTTAGGAGTGAGTCCCCCTGTCTTCACCCCTGGCCTGGATAGACTGACTTGCACTAGCTTGGCTCAAGCTAGTGTGCTAAAAATAGCTGGGTAGGTGTTGCAGTATGGGTGGCAGCTCAGGCTCTCAAGCCCACTGACCCCCTGGATGTGAGCTTGGGTTCTTATCTCAGTCTTTGCTGGAGCTGGAACATCCATATTGCTATATTTAGCGTGCTAGTTTGAGTCAAGCTAGCACAAGTCTGTTTATCTGGGATGGGAGGCTCAATTTATTTCTGTAATGTAGACATACCCCAGAAGTCCCCAAACTAATTTTTTTTTAAAAAACCTCCTCTTTGGGCTTTGGCTGAGTATAAGGCTACAACAGTTCAATCTTGAGGGCAGTCTTTTGTTTTTAGTCACAAGCACCCAAAACCAGGTTTATAGTAAAAGTCCGTCCTTAACTTTAACTCTAGCTTCTCTCGGTAGTATACGTTACAGTGTAGATCCATTCTCTGAAATTTTACATAAGAAATAAGCAATGGATTATTACATCTGAAAGGAAAATGCTATTTTTTAAGATGTTGACGGGTTATACGTTGGTTAAAAAGCAACGTCTGGAGCAAATGAAGTTTTTGGCTTTGTAGATCCCCCAGCAGAATGCTCAGTTGATAAAATAGAAACAATTCATCTTTTACAAGGAACTCAAGAGTCGCAAATGTTTCAAACATTGCAGTATTATAGTAACTGAAATAATGATGACAATCTTTCCCCCCCTCCCTAAGATTATGAAACCACGCCTAATGATATTGGAGACACCACGAATAACAGTAATCAAATCACTTCTACGGATGTTTCCAACAAAGAGAATGAAGATAGCATCACTGTAAGTATATACATTGTTTCCTGGTTTGTAATCTTGGCAGACTTTCTGACTATAGAACTGATGAAGCTGTGATGGGACACTAACCTAATAGTGTACCCCTGCTGTCGCTAGAATTGTTCAAGATGCCCTTTCCAAAAAATGGGGGGAGGGGGAAAAGAGTGCGTGATTTTTCATACTGAATAAAGTGGAAATTTAATTTACATCACTTTTCTGACCAACTCTTAGAGATGATCTGTCGTGCAATGTTTTTGTTTTTCAGAGGACCTAAAATACAGTAATTTTATTTACAAAGTAAGAGATTTTCACATCCTTGAAATTCAAGGTAATTTGAAAAGCTCTCTCACTGGATTTATAAACCTGGTAGTCAACTGCTGTTCATAGTGAAGTCATGTTATAATGAAAAATCAAATTAGACTTCTGTATTTTGGCACCATTTTTCATGGGGTTGCTATTAAAAGATAACATGGAGATTTTTAGTAGAAACAGCTAATTCAGTGGGCCTGAATTCCCCACTTCCTTACCTCTGTGTAATCATTTATACCTGCACAAAGTGAATATAAAGCACTGTCATTCTGACAGTTTAACATTTAGTGTAAATTACTTTACAAGGTGGAAGGCAGTGGAGAATTGTGCCTTGTGCACGGATACATGATACATGAATGGGAGGGAGAATTGTAAGCTATGGAAGAGTAGAAAGTTGTGGGAGCTACAAACTTGATATTGCTTCAGTACATACAGGTTGTTTGGTTTTTTTTTTTTTTATTTTAATTTAAAATATTCAGGAATACCTCAGGTGATAGAATTGAAGGAGGAAAGAAGTTCAGGATTAAATAAAAAAACTGTTAACAGATATGAGACAGTGGGAGTGATCTCAAATCAGTTTCCCCATTCTGTTACTGTCAGTTAGGGACATCAAGGCCCAAAGTAGAAGCTGAAGTTCAGACCTATGGGCGTGGGTCTGGGTGGGGCAGCAAATCTCCAGAGCATTACCTCCCCTCCTCTACCCCCACATTGTCCCTTGTGGGATTTGTGCACAGAAGGGACCATCTCATACCATGCAGAATCCTGAGGGATCTGTGAGAGGTCAGGGCCATCTGTGAAGAGGCTCTGTGCTGCACAGTGGCTTTGGTTCTGGTTTCCTTGTCAGCAGCTGTGCCCCAGGGGAAGTTATACCTCAGACTGTATTATCTTTTCTGATAAAGCTCCATAGGGCTGCAGAGGTGGATGACATGCAGCCCTCTGACTCAGCCCCTCCTCCGACGATCTCACCCAGTTTGTCTCCTCTCCCAGTGCCAGACCCATGAAGAGGCCTCTGCAGGATGTGGAATTGGCAGAGTCTCTGTTCTCTGCAGGGTGGGAGAGAGCCTACATAATGGTCCCCTCTGTGCTCTTAGATCTGACAGTCTTTTTTTCCCTTTAAAAGAAAACGTTCCCTAGTTTGATTATTCTGAATAAACGTTAATTGCTTTTGAAGACAGTTCATCATCATGCAACAAATTGAACTGTTCTTGCTCTCTCTTTAGGTGTATGTTGTGGTGGGGATTGCAGCATTAGTGTGCACTGGCCTAGTGATAATGCTCATTATTCTGAAGTTTGGAAGACACTCCAAGTTTGGGATGAAAGGTAAGAAGTGTTGTTTCTTAAAGTTTCTTAGTTGTCATAGGTCTGACCATCACGCCCCACATGCCTCTGCTCCTGAAGTACCAATGAAAGTCTAGAAAGAGTGCCATCACATATCAGTCCACTTGAACAGTAGGCAAGGAGCTGGCCAGAGGGGGATAAATACAGAAATAAAAGGCCTTGAACCAAACTCTGATCCAAACACATGGTTTAAGCAATCACCTGTTCTCTGCTGGCCTGATTTTTTTTTTCTTCACCTGAAGTCCGTTAGTAATACGTTACTCTGCAAAACCAATGGGACTATTCATGGGGTAAGGTGTTACTCAATGTAGGATGGCAGAATCTGGCCCCAGAAAAAGGAAATTTACTCTGATGTGCATTGGATTATGAAAGCCACACTTGGTAATTCAAACTACAATTTTGGAAGCAGGTTAGGGTTAGAGCTGCAACAACTGGGGTACTGCTGCAAGTGCTGCACCCGTCACATTAGAGCTTACATTGCAGTACCACACCATAGGAGGTAGTACTTATTGAAATGGCAGTCAGCCCTTTCTGTGAGGTGATGAGAGTGAAATTCTGAACCTTTTATTTTTGTTTAAACCTTCAGTACTACTCCCTCTGACCATTTCTGTAGGTGTTAGAGGAGGTGTATTTATAAAAGGAACTTGTACACTTGGTGAGGATAGGTGATCAGGGAGTATTTCACTATGGACCAAAGAGTAACCATGTTTTGTTCTTAGGCTGAGGGTCTGTGGAGAAGGTGATAACTAAACCCTAAGGCCCCTCATCTCCCTTTATCTTTCTTGGGACCCCAAGCCACACTGCCAATGCATCCCATAAAACGATCCCATAAAAACTCATTCATGGTTTGTGGCTCTGACTGGGCCCTGACACTGTGCCATTCAGATCTGTCTGATGTACCATCAGCTCTGGGATTCTTGACGGGGAGAATTCCTAGAGCAGCTGAGATTTAAATGGAGAAGAACTGTGTTCAGTGAAAAACAGCAGACATATGGCCTGAGAGGATACACCTCCTCCTCACATACATGCACACTATTCCCAGTCTGTGGAATCCTCACGGGCCTTATTGGGGATTTGAAATCTGAAGGACAAAGCTGTAACGTTTCAAAGTGTAGAAAGAGTTATGTTGGACTGAAAGAAGGTTTGGAGTATGTTTTCTTTTATGCTGAAGCAACTTGGGTTGCATTGGGAAAGAACAAGAAAGCTGGAGCCAAATTGTAGGGAGGGATGGTAAGATCTCTGGCATTTGGATTCTAAAAGTGTCCTTGGAATAGCATGTTTGTTATGTTACTATTTGTCCATACTAATGTTTGAAGAAGTTCTTTACTAGCAAGTTAATCTCCCATCTGGGAGAGGTAAGAAAAGTTCATTTATTTTCAAAATTAGTCAATAAGTTACTAATCCTGTCAATCTGCACTATGGCATAAGTGCTTTTCTAGCTACAAACCTGCCTAGAGCATGTTTGTATAATAAGGACTTCTTTCTTTGTGAGTCACTGAGTAAAATTTTGAAACTGTGGCAACTTCAACATGGAGTTTATTTTTATTTTGTTAATTGAAACAGTGAGCAAACCATAGCAAACCGTTCTGGATCCCAAACTAAAATGCTCACTCCTTTGGGTACGCTCCCTCAAATGACTGTCCCTGGTAGGGACTTTTACTCTGAGGATTAATTTACTGTAAATAAATACCAATTGATAGATTACACTTTGTAATCTTGAAATCTTATAATTAACTGTAAACAAGCCCTTGAAGGTTTCCATCAGAAAAGGACCACATTCTTCAAAATAAAGATGGCCCTGAATTGATCCATACATCTTCCAACTTTGAAGTTTGCATTCAGACCTGAACTTAGCAACTTGGGTTTATCCTTAGCCCAAAGCTTCAGAGACACTTTTTCAAATTATTACCATTATCATCATCATTAGTTTGTGTTACAGTAGTGCTTAGAGGATCCATCAGGGATCAGGTCCCCAATGTGCTAGATGCTGTACATGTACGTAATACAAAAAAAGTCTTTGCGGCAGAGAGCTTGCAGTCTAAGCATATAATGGGAGACAAGTGAAGATAGACTAGTTGTGGGCTTGGGGGGCAAGGAAGAAAGTTAACAGTGGCGAGATTATATTTTGTTCAGTAAGCACCAGTCACAGCACACAGTATTAAAAATTTAAAGTTGTCCTGTAAACAATAGGACCAACCTGCTGCTCCTGAAATCAGTGGGTGGTTTGCCATTGGAATTGGTCCCCAAATGAGGAAAAGTCAATTTACAATTGGTGCATTTTAATCCATGTTTTAGTTGGGCCAAGAGGAAATATTCAATTTGCTGTGGAAAATTTGTACTTAAACACGGCAAAATCATCTTTTCAAATGAATGTCTTCCCAAGTACTTCTGTGAGCATTTTACATTCACCAGAGAGAACTTCCTGAATGATGCAGGCCAGGGATACACAAAGGGTTTTTCTCCTTTTTCTGTAATCTTGAGGGAACACAATGCAAGCCCCTCAACCACCACATCATTCAACATTCTCTCCACCCTTCCTCAAACAATGGTCCAGAAAAAAAACAAAAAAAACCCAAAGAAGGCATGTAGTTAATCTTGATAATGAGCAGAAAGGAGAAGTAAATGATCCTTTCCAATGTAGCTAGCATCTGCAAATGGGGAAAATATGTTCCACCAAATGTCAGCGGTATGAGTCCAGTGTAAAATGGTGCATGGAGTATGGCAATATCTCCCCATGAGGAGTGAAATTCATGCCTTACTTGCAGTCAGCAAGTATCAGCAGCATTTCCAGTACAACAGAATACCTACTCTGCTTAGGGCTAAAGTTTCCCTGGGTTTGTATGTGCAAGGATCATTCATATCCAACTCACTCTGTGCCCTGGCTCAGGGCTGGAGGCAGTCACAGGCAAGGAACCCAAGCATGCTGTGAGACTAGCACACAAGGTGATGCTAGCCTCCTCATAAAGGGACAGAAAGGGGTAGGTTGGAGCTTCCCCCTGGTCCAGCAGCACTGACCTCACCCAGGTGAGCACATGCTAAACACTTTCAAAGACTGCCATGGTGGGCACGTTCCTCCTGATTTCCTAGGCGTGATTGTGCCTGTCTGATGTACAGGGCTTCTGGGAACTTCCACGGGGCTAGTTTTTCCACAAACGCTCCCTGTGCACCATAGCCAGTGCTTAAAGCCATAATGTATTGCTCAGTCTGTATCTCTGTCAGCAAAGTTTTATACAACTTATATTGGGGTTTCTCATTTATTTTTACATAACTGAGAGGAGATGGTGAACAGGAACATTTTGGTGTTTGTGCCATGCTGTTATTTTTCCAGATTACAGTAAAATAGCTCTGCAGTAGATTTGAGAACCAAAAAAACCCTATCAACCATGTAAGTGAAGTGAACTGTGGTTGAAGTTGGGGATTGTGTTGTGCTGAAGTACAGCTGCCAACTTTGGTCTTATTTCTCCTTCAAGTCGTGTCCTACCTCTTAGACTATAGGAAGGTGCTGAGTCCTAACGTCCTGATGATTAACTTCGGAAATTAAAATATATGGCTGCTTGGCATTCTGTTCTTGAAGGTCACACAATATAATCAGCACTGCATGCCAGATGTGAATATTCTTCTCTCCCCACTACAACTATTAACTTTCATGTGTTCTATACTTACAATACTAAACGTGTAAATGCACTTATATCTGATAAAACCTATGTGCGTTCCTGTTGTAATAGCCATTTCTTTTAGTGATGGCTCTAAATGCGATCACCTTTGTCCTAGACTTCTGTACATTTTCTGAACATGGGGCTGAGACCTTTGGACACTCACATAGGGTTATAGTGTAGCTGAAGAAACCTGTTGTTAATTTCTTGAATATATTTACTAGTAGGGTCATCAAGATTTGTGCATTGGTCTTGTGCAACTTCTTGGTTTGCATGCTTGTTGGAGGATGTGAAAATGCTTGTGACGGATGTATGTCTGACTATATCCATCTTATAAAACTGGAAGAGCACCAGGGTCCTAGAACAGAGAGGGCTGGAGTGAGTTCATGAGCCCTACTGAGGAGATTTATGGAAGAATACTTCCGGCCTCCTTTCAGTCTACCTGCACCATTGGAAGAGAAATACAAGTAAGGTGACCAGCTGGGAAATAAACCCATTTTTAATTTTGCAATTGTTAATTAGTATCAACATGACACTGAGAGAATGGAAAAGGAGGAAGAAATCTGATGGAATTTGGCAATTAAATCCTGGATATAGGCAAAAACTCAGAGGGTCACATTTGAAACAGCATAATTCGATTCACAAAGAGTTCAAAAATATATGCCAATTTGAACCAAAATTAAGGGGTTTTTTTTGTACTGAATTTATATTTTTGTACAGACAAGGAGGAGCTGTTAGCAGTAAGAAACATGATAACAAGCCAAAGAGGTGTTCACGTCACAAAGACAATACTTGGGGTTCCTAATGCTCTTTGCTCTTTAAGAACTCTGGGGAGGGGAACAAATAATTAGACCTCAGTATTATGAGAATTGCTCTTTGGTAAAGGTCAAACACAAATGGGACTTTTATTGGAACCAGAAAGGGGGTGAGGACGGGAACCTTCTTAAGAAAACAATAAATAGATTCTGACAGAATTTGAGGGAAGCATATGTATGTTTAATTCCTTTGAGGCGAGGGATTTTTGTGTGTGTGTGAAGCTGCTGTCAGTGCTTTAAGATTTGTGCTATACTCCAAAGAAAAGGGAATAAATTGAGTCCGAAATTCCTATCGTACTTAAGCAGTGCCAGAACAGTTCTCAAGTCTGAGCTTGGTAGCACACTCTCCAAAGGCTACTTTTACTCCTCAAGATACCTCATGCATCCTAAACAGGGAATGCGTTTTTGAATGATTTTTACACTCCCATGAGAGTATGTATGGAAGTCTGCAGTCTGAACAAATAACAATATGCATCAATTTCATGAATAAGTCAATGACCTTTATATAACAACT